TCCGGACTGTAACTACACAGCTCTTTTTATGATTTGAATTTAGAAACAATCTTTAGTGTTGATAATAATAAAAAAAGTTACGACTTTGGGCTGTCGATGTGGAATTCATTGATTCTATCAAAAAATGTTTTGTACACTTTTAACTCTACAAATAATCAAATATTGACAATAAATGAATTCAAAATGTCAAGTGGATTTTCAGTCTATTTTGATGTGGAAACAGTTATCAAAAGTTTAACGATAACTTCAAAAGGAAATTACACATTTAACAAACCAGTCACAATCGTAACTTTCACTTTCATTGATATTGTAAAAAATCAAATTCTCTTCTACATTAATTCAACTTATGATAATCATATTCCAACGCCACTCACAGTATGTGGGAATCGAGTCATTCACAAAGATTATTTAAACACTCTTTGTGATTGTGAATACAACGAAAATGAAACTTTCACTTTTCGAGGTGAAACCATGACCGACTGCACAAAAAACCCACGCACTAACTTGAAATTGATTGTTGGACATAACAATTATTCAATACAAAACAACGAAAACTGGGGAGTTATTAATTGTTCTGATAAAGTTGTGATATCTTCCACAAGCAACAATGTTAATATCGATTCAAATCATTGCCTGTTCAACGAAATTGTTCATTTACAAGCAAATGTTATTTGTAACAATTTGTTTGTGTACAACACAACACAAATTATAGTTGACAACTTCACTTCAAATCAATATTATTTGCAACTAACAACTGTTAACATAGTTGAAGAGATTTCTGGAATTAATCAAAATGGAATTATACAAATAAAAGGCGGCAAACTATCATCACATTATTCAAATCAAAACATTTCATTGATTTTTCCTGTAAGTGGAAGTACAACAAAGTGCATTGACTTTATCTCGTCCTCAACACCACTGAATGATTTTCCATTTGAAGTCAAATCAACAAAAATGTTATTAGGGAATAAACTGTATCGTGTTTGTTATGGAGGGGACAACAATTTTGATTACACAATTCGATGCAATTTAACAGGAAGTGTTTTTTCAAAATTTCAAAGTTACCAAGATGAGGTGTTGCATTGTCCTATTAATAACATCAATACAACTATTATTGTATCAACCAATGTAGTTGATTTGAATGAGTCGTTTTCTGGTACTTTTGATCAACAAGAAACAGTGACAAAGTTCAATTTTGAAATTACATCAAATTATAACTTCAACGACTCTACAAAAACCGTTTTATTTATTCAAGACGAGTCTGTGGAACAAAACAATTTTAACATCCAAACGAATTTAGAAAAGCTGTTGCTTGGAAATAAATACAAGTTTTCAAATACAATAGATTCAAATAAGTTAAAAAGTGACAATAAATACACTTCTATTGAATATAATTCGTCTAATAAGTGCAATTCGTTATTATTAACTAATTTAAATTTAAAGTGCTTGCATTGTGATCAGTCAACTGTTTTAAACAATGGAGAATGTCTTGATTTCAGTGAAAAATGCGTCTCTCGACAACGAAATGGAACAACCACATATTGTGAAGAGTGTGAAAGTGGGTTTGAACCTTACAAAGAAAAATGTAATAAATGTCCTAATCACTGTCTTCGTTGTTTTAAGTCGAATTGTTTGCTTTGCAAAGTAAATTATCAAATCAACTCGTTGTTTGGATGCTCAGAAATTGAAAATAAAGATTCCACAATAGTTTTTTATAATACATCACGTGTTTACAAATGTAAAGAAGGGTATTATAATACAAACAGTGATTGTACAAGTGTGCTCACAAAATGTGTATCTTATGCACAAGAAACCAAATGCAAAATATGCAAATCAAATGAATTCTTAAACTCAGAAGAGACTTGTTCGACACTAAGTGGAGTTATAACAACAAACAACAAAGTTCCTCTTATTTGTGAGCCCTCTTATTATTTAATTAACAACACGTGTAAATTATGTAATGAGACTTTTGGTAATTTGTGTCAAAGATGCACGAAACACAGTTGTGTTTCTTGTGGATTAACAGGTGTTGTTAATTCTAAGGGATCATGTGAATCAGTCAATTCCAGTAGGTGTATCGAAAGTTATAATACGTATTGTAGTGGCTGTTCAGACAAATCCGATTTCATCAAAGATGATGTTTGCATTCAAAATATCAACAATTGTGATGTTACAAATTTGAATGGCAAATGTGTGAATTGTGTGAATGGGTTTTATCTTGATTATAATACACAAACGTGTGTCTCCACACAGCAAACAGTGAACGATTGCGAGAATTTGTATTTCAAAGGCGATCGTTGTGTTCAGTGCAAATCGACGTTTTATCTCACCGAAAATTACGCATGTTTAAAATGTTCTGAAAATTGTTTATCATGCACTTCCAGTACAAATTGCATATTATGCGACAACAATTTGATAGTCAAGAATGGGTTCTGTGTTTCGGGATCCAATGTGTCAGACAACTGCAGCAAAGTGGTGACAGGCACTTCGATCTGTGCTCTCTGTGTTTCGAAGACGTTTAGAAACGAAGATGGAAAGTGTGAAAATTGCTTGGAGAATTGTGTTGAATGTCGAAATATCAAAACGTGTACGTTTTGTGAGTTGAACCACTTTTTACTTACAAATTCAAGTGCTTGTATTTCCTATGATAATATAATGAAATGTGAAGACAAAAGTGTTCGTGGGTGTATAAAGTGTTCCTTTGGTTATTTTATTGAAAATCAATTTTGTTCTTCTTGTGACTCCAAAACGACAAATTGTGAAATTTGCAATTCTGTAGGGAAGTGCACTTCGTGTAAAAACGACTTTATTCTTAATGAATCATCTGAATGTGTATCAAAGAGTCAAGTGGATAATTGCGTTGAAGTCTCAAATTCTAAATGTACCAAATGTACTTTTTGGCATGTTCCAGACAACACAAAGACGAAATGTATAACCCAAGCCGTATGGTGGGTCATTCTTTTATGTGTTCTGTTTGTTATATTCATTTTCATTATTATCATTGCATCGTCCATCTTCATTTTCATTGCAATTTTGAACCACCGCAAGACAGAAAAATTGCGAGAGAAGTATTGTTTATTTGATATGAAGAAAACGAACATCGAATTTGTCAAAACCGAAATAGTTGATATTGTTGTCAACAAGACGTGTATCGAATTCTGTGGAGCGACAGAAGAGACAACTAAAATACCAGTTGCCACTGAAAGTCGTGAATTGATTTGTGTTGGAAATGTCGGTAAAAATGTCATCAAAGTGCAATTCAGTTTGAAAGATAATTGCACAAAATACTCAATTCGAACTGAACCCAAAATCATGACAATCCCAAAAGGAAAAGCAATCGAATTTGAAGTCTTCTTAACACCGAATTACTCGTGTATAATAGAAGACAAAATCGTATTGGTCTCTGCTAATTTAAAAAAGGGAGAAACGTCACAACTTTACTTAGAAACAAAGACGGAGACGGAGATGTCAACTCGATTGGACCCAGACGAGTTGATTGAAGAGAAAAAGTTGGGTGAAGGTTCATTTGGTGTTGTTTACAAAGGCAAATTCCGAGGTAACGAAGTCGCAATTAAAAAGATGAAAGAGTTTGGAAATGACGAAACAAAAGTAAACGAAATTGAGAAGGAAGTTTCGATGTTAGACAAGTTCAGAAGTGATTATATTGTTTACTTCTATGGCGCTGTCTTTGTACCAAATAAGATCTGTATGGTCACTGAATTTGCACAATTTGGAAGTCTTCAAGACTTGATGAAACACAAAACTTCGAATGAAATTGACATGAAGTTAAGAGTGAAAATTTGTCTCGACGCTGCAAAAGGAATTTTGTATTTACACGAAAATGGAATTTTACATAGAGACATCAAGCCAGACAATTTTTTGGTCTTTTCATTAGAAAATGCAATTGATGTGAATGCCAAATTGACTGATTTTGGATCGTCGAGAAATGTCAATATGTTGATGACTAACATGACATTCACTAAAGGTATTGGTACACCAACTTATATGGCACCCGAAGTTTTGAAGAAAGAAAAGTATAAAAAGAGTGCTGACATTTATTCATTTGGAGTAACATTTTATGAAACATTAAAGTGGGGAGAAGCGTATGACAAAGAGGAATTCAAATTTCCCTGGAAAATAGCCGAGTTTGTGATTTCGGGAAAAAGACTTGATAAAGAGGAAAATATGAATGAAAAACATTTCAAATTGATACAAAATTGTTGGAACCAAAGACCAGAAGATAGACCACATATTGATGAAGTAATAAAAAGTGTGGAAACTATTTAAGTGAATAATAATTAAAAATTATTTACACTATAGAATAAATATATTTTAATATAATAATAATATAATTATTAATATTAATATAACATTATAATAAAATAAAAATTCTTTAAATATTAAACTATAAAATATAACTTGATAAAATCAAACAAAGTTTAAAATAACTTACTTGTCAATTCAATTTTAAATATAATAATTACAAAAAGCTTTAATTATGTTGTCATGTCGAACAACACAGTTTAATCATTATGATATTATTTATGTTGTTATAATATTAATTTATAACAATCTTATTATTATAAAACAACTAATAATTAAATAAAAGTATAATAACAAATTAAAGACTTAAATAAACTTTTTCAAATCTCTTGACCACTTCTGTTATTTGGATTCTATTGTGAACGTCTTGACACCACATATCGTTCACAAAGTTGTATATATCACCGTTTAAGTAAATCGGCTTTTCCAAGCGTTTCCCACTTACAACAAAGTCAACAATATCCCATGCAAATTTAAATCGTTTTTCGTGATATGGATCTTTCCATGTAGCACACTCAAACAAAGATACACCAAATGAATAAATGTCAGCACTCTTTTTATACTTTTCTTTGTTCAAAATTTCCGGCGCCATATATTTTGGTGTACCAACGCCTTTAGTGAATGTCATGTTAGTCATTAGTAAATTGACGTTTCTACTACTTCCAAAGTCAGTCAATTTGGCATTCACTGTATTATTTAAATCAAGTGAAAAGACAAGAATATTGTCTGGCTTAATGTCTCTGTGCATTATTCCATTGTTGTGTAAATACAAAATCCCTTTTGCTGCGTCATACATAAACTTGATACGCAACTTATCTTTAACTTCTTCAGCCTTTTTGTGTTTTATTAAGTCGTTTAAACTTCCAAATTGTGCGAATTCAGTGACCATACATATCTTATTTGGTACAAATACAGCACCATAAAAGTGAACAATATAATTACATCGGAACTTGTCTAACATCGAAACTTCATGTTCAAATTCTGTAAGCGCGTTGTTAGTGTTGTTTAATTGTTTCATCTTTTTAATTGCAACTTTGTTTCCTCTGTAATGTCCTTTAAAAATAACACCAAAAGAGCCTTCACCAATTTTCTTATCTTCCTCGAGTTCTCTGTAATTCAATTTAGTTGATTGTTCTGTCGTTACTTCAATTGGAATCTTTTGCACTGTTTGTAGACACGTTTTAATATCTAAAACAGTGACCATCATATTTTCATTAATTTGACAGGAACACAGTGGCTTAATAATTATCTCAAATTCACAGGCTTCTCCTTTTTTCAAATTAACTAATGAAGGGAGTGTACGAATGCTATAATAATCACAATTGTCCATTACACTGAACTGTAATTTAATTCTATGAGGCGATGAATTTCCAATGCAAATCAAGTCGCGAGACTCTTTGTCGACTGGGATGGCATCATCAGTGTCCAAATCGAACTTCAAGAGTTTTTTGTTAGACAGTAATATCGAGTTCAACTTTGACATTTGAATATTAGAACGATCCATCTTAAAGGTGCACACATTCTTCTCTTTAATCCTTTCCTTTTTGCGTTGAATTAATATTACAGTGACAACAATGATAGTTGTGACAATTATTATTATCACTATTACAATGGATATGGGGATACCAACAGCAATACCCAAATTGAGAGAATAGAGACATGAGTCGCCTATTTCTGAGGGTTTATAATTGACTTTGCATTTATTACACTTCGAATTTGAAGCTTTCAGACACCACTCGATATCCGAAAAATGTGTGCAGTTGTTGTTTACTAATACAAAGTCTGTAATTTCACATAGAGTGCACACATCTTCAGTTTGACATGATATACAATTGGAAGAACATTTGGAACATCTGTAATTACTGAGATGATAGCGATCCATACACATCTCACACCCATAACTGTTACTTTTAATACAATTTGATAAAGTTGTGTTGGACAAACACAACTGAGTTTCTCCTTGTATTTGGTAATATCCTTCAGCACACGAGGAGCATTGATATGAATTCAAACATGTTCCACAGGATTCATCACATGATATACAATCTTTTTCAACTTTATAAAAGCCATCTTTACAGATGGCACATCCACCACCTGTCGGTAATGGCATAGAACACTTGTCTTTCAAATCCCCAAGTGATTTACACTCCATTTGCGAATTTAAGAAGTACCCATTTTCACATGAAATGCAATATGTCGAATTGTAACAACTATAACAATTGTTGGAGCATTGTATACACTTCTCATTTGATAAATAATACCCGATAGAACAATGTTGACACCCTTTATTTGTTCGAGTCATACATATACTTTCCAATGACTCTTTGATTGAAGATTTATTACTACGAAGTAATATGGAAGATATCATATCAACATTATCATCAAAATACTCGGCACAAACCCCATTTCTCAATTTATAAGAGTTGTAACACTCTACACATTTGGAATTCGATGTTGTGAGATATTTGCAGTTGTCTTCTCGTGGAATTGGAAGACAATACGAGTACTTCCCTTCGATGTTATTGGTATCACTTTGGTAGAACCCTTCATTGCATTGGACACAACCATATTCACTACTCTTAACACAATTCAATTCGGAAGAATCAACACACCAATTATCAGTGACTAATAAATGGTGCTGGGAACATTTCATGCATTTTGTTTGAGAACAAATATCACAATTGTTATATGTGCATTCAGAACACTTCCCTTTCACAATATCATATGACGACAAATTACACATAACACACATTTCGTTGTTTATTGTGGCACAATTCGTATCTGTTATACACTGCAAGTTATCAACATCGTAAATGAAATTATCTGCACAATTCAGTTGCAACACATTATCATTCATTTTTATACATTCGGTGTTTGTAATACTACAACTCTCACACTCGTTACCATTGAGATATTCACCATCTCCACACGAATATGTCACATTATTACGAATCAAGTGTGATGAAATTGTTTTTTGAACACAACCCATGTTTGTTTGTAAATAGTCATCTTGACAGTTGAGACATAAACTGCTTGTTTGGGAACTCTTCTGATATTTACAATTTACAATTTGTGTCTTTTCGCCTGTATTCATTAATATTTGATTGTTACTATCACACGATGTTATGGAAACATGAGAGTCGCATTTTCCCAATGCTACACACATTTGATTTGATAAGAAATGGTTATCGTGGCATTTAAGGCAAACATCTTCATTATGTTGAATAAGACATTCGGGAGTGTTCGACACACACATCCCTTTTATTTGACTATAAAATTGATTGTTGTCACAAATAACACAATCTCCGTTTGAAGAAACTTTGTATGGAGGATAACATGTTATACATTTGGGTTTACCCACTGATACAGTCATACATTCTTGACAATATTCAGTGGAATTGGAACATTGTGTACATCCCTTTTCTGTATTCTTGAATGTCCCATTTTCACAAGACACACATTCAAATGTAGAGGAAATATAGAACGGGTCTTCACAATTGGTACATTTCTTTGTTGTTGTACTACATTTACTACAACTTTCTTCTATTGTGTTACATAGCACACACATATGAGACGATTGATCTGGATAGTACCCATCAACACATTCGATGCAACTTCGTGTGTAATCGGAAGCACATGTTTTGCAGTGTCCATCAAATGAAATGCAACTCACACAACTCTGCGATTCTGGTTCTGTGAAGACGTAATTGGACAGGCAACCGGTACACATTCCATTTGTTGTGTTGCATTGTGTGTTGCATGTCGAGTCACAGTCTTTGCATGTTTTGGTTGTTTCGTCTGGATATTTCCCATTTGTACAGACAGCACACTCTCTCTTGTCGGGTGCACACGTCACACAATCAGTGTCAAACGTGTTGCATTTGATGCATGTCAGTGATGGTGATGCTGTTGGCACGTAGTTTGTGTCACATCCAGTGCACATCCCTGTTGTGCCACCACACTTGCCGCCACACGTAGTGTCACACAGTCTGCATCTGAAGTCGTCGTCACTCTTTGGATAATACCCACTGTTGCACACAATGCATTTTCGTGTTGAGTCTGTGCTGCATGTTGTGCAGTGCGCATCAAATGCATCACATGATACACACATCTTTGATGACGATTCGGAATACACATAATTGTTGATACACGACTCACACACACCCGTCAATGCGTTGCACTTGGTCGCACAACTTGCATCACACAATACACATGTGCCGTTCTGGTGTGGGTAATAGCCAGCAGCACATTTGACGCAACTTCTCATGTAGTTTGGTGAGCAACTGAAACACTTCGCATCAAACACATTGCACATTTCACACTTCTTCGACTTCGGCTCAGTAAATACATAATTGGTCAAACACGTTGTGCAAAGACCATTTGTTGTGTCACAATTACCCCCACATGTTGAATCACACATTATGCATACTCCGTTATCTCCTGGATAATAATTTGTCAAACATTTAACACATTTTCTAATTTGATCTGTTGAGCAAGTTTCGCAATTTTCATCAAACGAATCACAACTTTCGCATGTAATTTGTTTGTTTTCAAATGGCACAAACCCACTTTTACACTCCGAACAAATTCCAGTTGTACCATCACAATTGGTGCACGAATCCAAATCACAATTAATACACACCCCAATGCTATTTGGGTAATATTTTGTGTTGCAAACAACACATTTTCTGACGCCATTGTTTTCGCACGTCTTGCAATTTTTGTCGAACGAAGAACACGCCTGGCATTTCAATGGATCAGATGGATTGAGTACATATCCATTAACACACGATGTGCACGCACCCGTTGATGTATTGCATTTATCAGTACATGTAGTGCTGCAGGCCTGACAATTATATGGATATGTCGTACTTGGATAGTATCCCGTTTTGCAAGTTAAACACTTT